GAGAATGGGTTGCTTGAGGCTTGTGAAAATCACCCGCCTTAATTAACGCTAAGGTGAAAATAATTGTAAAATAAAGTTACACTCGTTGTCTAGCCAGACACGGTTTTTTTTTTATCCCAGTGTTTAAATAGATATCCATTTAATAATTTTTTTTTGGTAAGCGCCAGGTGTTGGAAGTTCATGAACTCCTCTCTTCTCCCTACTCCATCTATGGATTAAATTTTAGAGAAGAATCAATTTTCAGGTTTTGGGTAGCAACCAATCCAAAAAATGGAAAACTAAACCACTCCACAATCTGGTTCAGGAATTCAAGGCAATTCCCAGATAATAAAGAAAAATCATTGGAGAGTCATGATCGGCTACGTTACGAAGGCACATAGAAATGATCGCCTACATAATGCAGGCAGTTAGCAATGGTCTCCTACGTCATCAAGATACATAGCAATAATCGCCAAGGTCATTAAGACACATAGAAATGATTGCCTAGGTCAGTAACGAACATAGAAAGGATCACCTATGTCATGAGGTCCCATAGCAATGATCGGCTAAGTCATGAAGGCACATAGCATAATAAAAAAAAATAAGAATAGTAAAAGTAGTACGCATTATTAATGACGTAAGCGCAGATCCGATCTTGACATCTGTAAATAAAAACAAAGTACACATTACTTTGTAAAACGTCAATGATTGACATGACAGTTTTTTTTAATAATTTCACCCCAAGCAAGGCGATAATACCACTAAGACGCAAGAGGTGAAAGAAAATACAAGAAAAATGTTAGTGAAGAGAAAAGATAACATAAAAACAGTATTAAAAAAGCAGAAGATGGCGGGCGAGGTTACATTTAAATTTTTAAAGATCATAGTTGCCAGGGAAACAAAAATTCGAACGGCTGTTCCACAGATGAGAAGAACAGGAAATTAAATCACAGGAAGACAATTAACGGTTTTACCAAGCATTTTCAACACTACAATATGACTTTGATGCCAATCTAGTACTACGCTGATATTCATGATGCCGGAATACTAGAAGGAAGCGCATCAGAACAATTGTCATGAAAATATTTATAGGAAAGGCACAGGGAAGCTATGATGGTGCAATGTGTGTCGAGATTCTAGGTGAAGACCGACAACATTGCAAATTCTTCCTTGGATTTTGTCACACATCTCAAGACATATAGTAGAAGCGCCAGACCAGATGTGACAGCAATATTCAATGATTTATAAATGTGCAAGATGGATTTCGGCGAGAAAAATCGTCTCGCCCGACAATAAACCAACTTTCCGAGCGGCAGACCTGACAATTGATAAAATATAATCGTAACACTTGATGTCAGTGGTAAACGTGGACCCGTTAAGGCGCAATGAATTGTTTTGTTTTGATTTTTTCTGCGGATTGGCCTGAACCATGGAGGTTAAAAAAGGTTTCATAAGGTGACAAAAAGACATCTGTTTCGTTTTCTAGGAGTTAAATTTCCAAAGTTATTTGTTGCTTTAGTTAACAACAGACTGAATTTCAGTTTCGAGATTAGTTGTCAATTTGACAATGGAATATTTATCGAGCTTATCAGATATTTACTATTTATATTACGAACATAACCCGTTTCTAGAATGACATAAAAATCAATATTTTATCGATTTTGATAAATATCCTGGTTTAACAAAGGTACGATCTATAACAAGTTTTTCACGACAAAATAATTCCTTATTTTTTGACGAGCGGTCTATTGAATTTAAATAGTGTCAATATAATTTATAGTATATATTCATTTTCGGAACTTTGATTTCGACAGCCGAACGTCTTTTTATTACCACTATATTTCTGATGATTTCAACAGACTTTTTCAGGTGTCTAATCGTAAGAAAAAAAGACAAAGGACGATATTCAGTCACCCCCCACCACCACCACCACGAGGGTGTCATGTGGCACAAGGCCTTTTTAACCTGGGCATTCCGAGCCCGTGGGCTCGGCCAAAAATATGCCCATTGAACCCGTATAAACAGGTTCAGGGCCGGTCTACCTCCCCGAAGGAGACTCCGCCCTTCGGCATAGCCTCCTTCGGGTTCATCCCGTCCGTAGGAAGAGAGTACAACCGAACAGGGACTCGTCTCTTTTTTTGCGGTATATACACTCGAAGAAGGCTGTAAAATGAATCAGCAGATGTATGATGCTAAAAACTCCAGTGATATAAAAAGGACATCATTTGTTTGAACAGAGTTTGGAATTTTAATAATAACGTTCCAAAGATAGAAAATAAAATCATCATCATCATCATCATCATCATCATCATCATCATCTCTCTCTCTCTCTCTCTCTTCCTCTGTCTCTCTGTCTCTCTCTCTCTTTCTAGAGAGAGAGAGAGAGAAAGAGAAAGATGGTGGGAGGCACAGTGGAGTAATGGATAGCGGCTCGGATTGAGGAAAAAGAAAGCAGAGTTCGAATTCCAGTCGAATCCATTACATTCACTTACGTGCTAATACCCTTAGGAAAGGTATGAATCCTCTTCTTCTCTCCCCTCCCGGGTAAATAGCAGGACAGACCGGTTTCTATAGCCTTGGATGGCAACTGGTCTACCGCAGAAAGAAATGGCAAGCTACTATTGAAAGATACCTGATCGCCTAAGCGTGTATCATGCATGACACATAATTGAGTGATATATATATATATATATATATATATATATATATATATATATATATATATATATATATATATATGAAGACGATTGTATCTACCATGGAACAGACTGTCGCCTGTGTTGACTTCAATGTTCAATTTTATATATATATATATATATATATATATATATAATTAATTTGGAAAATTTTGTTTATAGAGACGGTCAAACTATTTCATATCGACCCTTCAAATTTAGTATGCATATTAAGTGAACAAACGGGAAAATATTAATGTAATTATTTTATTCCTCATATTCTTTAACTGTTATACGGAAATATCCTTTACCGTAATAATTACCATTTGCAACTCTTCGATGTAAGACTGTAATTTCTTTTTTTTATCATAATATCTAAGCAAGACAACCATTTATATGATTTTAAAAAAGCAATTTCCTAGAATAATTCTTGTTTATCATTTAAACCCAAGCAAAGAAGACCATGGTGATTTCAAAAAATCATATTACGTAAACGTACACAATATATAAAACGTCCTGCAGCTTACACAGAACTTTCTTTATAAGAAGTGGAAGTATCAAACTGATGTTGACCTTGCAGAAGGACAAATATACTCTGAAAATCCGCTAGACAAAATCATATCTATATATATAACACAGGCGCAAGGAAAATGTCATCAGCTGAAGATACATTCGGTTAGAAACGGATCAACAATAATCCCACTTGTTTTAACATAGTACAATTTAATAGCATGTACAACATAACACTACCCCATCACTTAGATAAGATCTTCCTAGACGAAATAAACAGTAAGTTGAAATGCTTAACAAATTCAGAATTGATTAGAGCCGCTAGTATTTTGCCAAAAAGAGGTGGCAATCTAATTCTTTCTTTCTATGTGCCGTGTTCTTTCAGAACATAGGCGACCATGGCTTTCCACATCCTTCTATCCCTTGCAGCTCTAAACAAGTTCCTTCCGTCTGTCTCCCCCAGACCGCATTCTGTCATCCACTTGCTTAAGGCCGCTAGGTATGCCATGCGTTGTTTTCCCTTGTCTTTCTTTCCCTCTATTCAACCCGTGAGTATCAGATTCGCCAGGCCCTCCTTCCTCATTATATGTCCCAGGAACTTCAGCTGTCTTTTTCTTGATGTTAATTATAATCCTCCTCTTTGTTTTCATCCTCTCTAAGACCTCATCGTTGTTCATACGCTCGGTCCATGATATCCTCAGCATCCTTCTGTAGAACCACATCTCTGCCGCCTCAATCTTCTTCAGCTTTGAGGAAATCGTCCAACATTCGCTGCCGTAATGAAGGACAGATGTCACGTAAAAGCTCTGTATTCTTTTCTTCGTTGCCAAAAGAAATCCTCCTGTCTCGCAATACTCTGCCCAGTTTTTGGAACGTGTCCTTGGCCATCCCAATACATCTACGGATCTCAGTGTCGCATTTACCATCCTCTGTCAGAACGTTTCCCGGATACTTAAACTTCCGCGTCTGCTTGATTCTAATATTCCCGACCTGCAAATCGCATTTTGGGCTCATCCTTTTAATGAGGACCATGCATTCTATTTTCTTTTAGTTTATGATTAACTACTTCTTCTCACTTTTCGTTGTTACATTCTATAGGAGATTCTGTAATTTCTTTTCCGTGTCTGCTAAACCTGTACTGTGTCATCTGCGTATCTTACGTTGTTAATATTGTGGCTGCCAATGCTAAATACCGGCAGGGTTACCAATTCTCTCAAAATTGCCTCGCTGTATATGTTGAATAGGTCCGGTGAGAAGACGCATCCTTGCCTTACGACCTTTTCTATTTTTGTATATTCGCTGAACTCGTTCTCTATGAGCATGCAAGCTGTTTGCTGCCAGTATATAGGCTTCTGATAGTCAGAAGGAATAGACGGTACGAGTTCTGAAAGATTGGGACAACAGAAGAGGATTTCCACAAAACAAGCAGGAAAATAAGAAACAGCAAAATGTTTATTATCCACACAAAAAACAATAACTTGTACATTACAAAGTATTACTTTACTCGAGATGTACCAGGAGCAAAATAAATCCATTTCGTTTTTTTAGTTTTCTAATTGTTATTTGAAACCCATGACTGATTCATTCGTTTTTATGGTTTATCAACCTTTTGCAGGTTATTTAAAGCCAGATTTTAGATTGTAAGAAACTGTTGTTTTTTTTTGTTTTAATAATGGTTTAGTGATACAAGTCTGACTAATTAACCCATAAATGAGGGGAGAAAGGGTGGATTCATACCCCTTCCCCAAGGTTATTTGCGCCTAAGTAAATCTAACGATCCGTACGGGAATTGGAACTCGGCTCTCCGATTAACAATTCTGAGCCGCAAATCCAACCTTACAGCACCAGGTATTCACAAGCGGTCAACTAAGTACTGACCAGCCTCAGCGTTGCTTAACTTCAGTGATCGTACGGGAACCAATGTTTCAACGTGATGCGGCCGTAAGCCCATGTTCATGGCAGTGTCGGTGAAAATGAACCTTGTGATAAATACTGTCAATAATATGTTTTCCATTGAGGCAAATGTTTTTCATTGAGGCGAATATTTTTCCTTGAGGCAAATGTTTTTTTTATTAAGGGCAAAGGTTTTTCATTGAGGGCAAAGGTTATAAGATAGACATTTCTTTCTTGTACATTTGTGTTGTGGTAGGATTCACCTAATTTGCATAGTGGTGTACCGACCATATAAATATGGTTGGTACCGGGAAGAGAAGGGAAGGAATCATGAGATTCAATCCAGAGACTCTGCCCGACTGCGACTAAGTCAACACATTCTCTAGGAACGGTCTTCCCAAGAATATACAAAAGACTATATGTAAATATTGTGTACACTTTCTTGTTTCAATACATTTTGTTCTAAGTACATTTTGTATTGTATTATTATTCCATGCATTAGTCAAGTTTCAACAATTTGCTTAACTTGAATAAAGTTATGTAGGATTATTTTTCCGTATTAAGAAAACGTTTTACTATCTTTATAACCAGTTGTTTTTTTGTTTATCTTGACCGTTTATTTGTCATATAGGTGTACAGATAATATCACATAATAACTGTGCTTGTCTCTCCTTTAGTTACAGCCTTAGTTCGCACGACCGCTGCGCCCTGCCAGTACATCATGAATAATGGACTATTCCTTTTTCATACCCGAGACATTTCAATTAAAAAAGAAAGAAAGATAGAAGTGTTATTATTGATAATACCTCATAAATAATGGAGCATTCCGTTTTGATTGAGCGAGGAGACAAAAGACATAACAAAGACGCCATTTGGTTTCAGTGAAAAAAATGAAAGAAAGTCAATAACGTCTGTTTCAGTGAAATGATCTTTTCATTTCTACCCACCTTACTTCTTAAAATAACGACCAGAATTCATATTTATGATTGTTTTTGCAATATTTTGCTAAAGTTGTTAAGCTCAAATATTTAACGATGTGATAGGCTAATTTCTACGGATAATTTATTGTCGTAGAACTCGCCACGAGCTTATTCAATCATTAACTTAAGAATTAAGATTCACCACAGTATTAAAATAAGAAAAAAGTGACATTTTCACGGGTTCAAACTAGTATTTGTAATTACCTTTCTAGTTGTCGGAAAGCGATGATTTACTAGACAGAAGCAAGCAATTTAAATAATTGTACAGCTTTGATGCCAAAATTGTTGACGACAGTGATAAAAAAAAATATGAGAAGAATTTACGCTATTGTATATTCATATGGTCAACTGAAAAATTTAGCGTTTCGAGTTGCTAACGACATTGTGCATATTGTTTTTAGATATTTGTTTCAATAAATTCATTTCGTTTTTTGCTTTGAAAAGTCCACATTGGACGAAGCGTGTCGTCGACTAAAATTACAGTTTTCCTATTGTTTTTTGTCTTTTATATATTATCTTTTTCTACAGGTTAATTCGGAGAAATTTTCGCACACAAACACACACAAAAACACAAACACACGCACACATATATATAGATAAAAAAAAGACAATTGGCAAAGATTGCCGACGCGTTTCGTCAGACCGAATTTATTAAGGCAAGTTTAAAAGCTAAATGTTTTTTTTAGTTGCATTAAATTCAAATATAAAGAAAACGCTCTTATGTAAACTTCTTTCTGGATGTTAGTAACTATTTCCTACTAAGAATTAAAGAGGCTACTTTTTTTACCGAAATTGTTCAACATCAGAATTATTCTGAAAAAGTTAACCATATATATATATATATATATATATATATATCAGGTCATCCCATAAGTTCTGTCCGAATTTTAAAATTTTAAATAAAGAAAACAAATGACCAAATGTTACATTTAATTACAGATTCAATCAACAATGTATTTTCCCTGATTATCTATGACTTTCTTCCATCTATTAACAAGCTTACTAATTCCATTACTGTAAAATTCTTTTGGCTTTGATTCGAAGAACTCACAAATGTCAGTTTTAACCTCTTCCTGTGTTACAAAAGCTTTTCTTCCAAATGATTCTGTAAACTACGAAACAAATGGTAGTCTGAAGGAACAAGATCGGCAGAATAAGGTGGATGAGGAACTTTCTCCCAAGTTCTTCGATCTTTTGTGACGTGATTCTTGCTGTGTGGGGTCGCACATTGTCCTGATGAAACATCACCTCTTTTCAATTCACTAGAGCAGGTCTTTTTTTTCCTCAAAGCTTGGTTCAAACGTTCTAATTGCTGGCAGTATATTTGAGCATTAATTGTTGCATTAGATGGTAAGAATTCAAAGTGGATTATTCCTTGGCGATTCCAGCAGATTGAAAGAAGAACCTTTTGCCCATGAATTTCTCTTCTCGGGTGTGGCTGGGATCCTTCCCATTTACCAAGCCACTGTCTACGACGCTTAAAATTTCGATCAAAGATCCATTTTTCATCGCTAGTCACAAGTCTATCCAAAAAAGTATAGGAACTTTTCCAAGTTGTTGAAGATGACGATGAACAGTTGTATGGTTTGAACTGAGAATCACTGCTAATTCCTCAAATGATAAAGCAGAATTTTCTTCAAGGGCTGCTTCAAGAAGCTTTTCATCAAACTCAACTTGACGTCTGGTTCGATCTTCATCTTCAAGGGTGAAATCTCCACCTCTGAATTTTGCAAACCATCTTCTGCAAGTTTTTTCATTCACACATTCCTCTCCATAAACTGAGTGAATATTTCTAGCCGCTTCGGCTGCTGAGTTTCCTTTCTTGAACTCATAAAGCATTATGTGCCTCAAATGATTCTTGGGTACTTCCATGTTAGCAGGGTTTTAATCAAACAAAATTTAATTGTATTGTTCTCTGAAATAAAATTTGATCAGTTTAAATGCATCGAAACATAAAAATAATGTTCAGCTCCATTAGACATTATAAAATACTCTTTAAATTTCGTTCATTTTAACAAAAAGTTAAAATTCGGAAAGAACTTATGGGATGACCTACTATATATATTTTTAATAAGTATACATTTTACTCACCTGTAGCATAACTCTTAGTTTCATACTTTTTCATTTTATTATACATCAAACACTATTGCCTCAGATATATATATATATATATATATATATATATATATATATATATATATATATATATATATATATGATGCATGCATTTATTAAATAATATAGGCAAGTTTTGTCTATTTATTTTATGTAAATTCTTTTCATATCGTCTGATGTTTTAATAACATTATCATTAAAAGAAGAAAGAAAATCACCATATTGATACATATTTTTTAATCCTATCTAAGTTTTCGTCTTACATAAGCTATTATCAAAGATGGCAATTACATTACAATATATTAACCAATAAACAGACAAAACAATAATGATAGTTTGTTTATGTTTACATGGAAAATTTCCAAGCAACGAAAAACTCATGCATAGGAGACGCTGGAGCGAAAATCCCATCGCAGCTCATGACATCACAGATGACAACGATGGTGCCAACATGATGGTGCCATGATGGTGCCATGATGGTGCCACACATGATGGTGCCAACAGCTATCTGTCGCTGTGACAGACCAGACAACCTCTTTCCAAAGGTTACTGATATGTTGATACAAATTAATAACTCTTACGCCTGTTATCGAAATGGTCGCTCCAGCCATTTCCAAAGTAATTAATTTTACGAATGAACATGCTTATAAAGATGCGTAAATTTCAAGATTGGTTATTCCTAAATTTTCGCTTGAGGACGAAACAGGGATTTAATTTTAATAATTATATTTACGTTTTTGGCTTTTGTTTTTTGAAACATGAGAACTATTATGTAGCGAAGGAATCATATTTCTTTATAAAAATAATTATATATATATATATATATATATATAATGATAATTTTATTTAAAAATATTTTACATTGCAACACGACAATTTCTATGTTTCAGGACTTAATTTCTTTTATCCCGTCATCAGGCAATGTTCGGTAACTTTTGATGAAAATGATTTACTTTTGAAAACAGAAAACAGTACGTTTGATTATTAAAGAGTTAAGTAGGAGGGGGAACCAGATTTTAAAATCTTATGGGTGTGTCTCTTTCGGCTAACCAAAAGAGAGGTCATAGCTAATGCAGTTACCTTAAAGCAGTTAAGAATATACATTTAAGTTACGAAGAAATAATCTGAGAGACATGGATATCTCTGACAATAGGCTATTTTTTTTATTTTTATATATTTTAAAACTATCTTAAAGGGGCCTCTGGTATGATTAAAACATTTTTATGTAATTTCGAACCTAAAATGCAATACTTATTTTATCTGATAATCATATTACGCTCTACTTTGTATTGAGCACTTTTTTTAAAAAAAAAAAAGAAGGTAAATGCTAAAGAACTGTGATTCCAAATCTGTTTGTTCTCTGTCTTCATTTGGTTATATACATAAATGTTGATCCCGGCTTGCAATACCTTTGCCTGAAAACCATACCACAGGTTGATCTAAACTTTGTGGGTGAAATTGGGTAGACAGAACCCTTGGGCGCCGTCGATAGCTGTGCTAGCAAGAAGTAATAAGTCACCGTGACCGAGGGCTTGAGTGTGCTGGTTTTGCTTGCATCTTTGATCACGGCAGAAACTGTGGCTACGGTCTGCTCAGCATAGTTACAGTATAAACTACAGAGCAGGCGCCTGCAATAGGGATTGGATAGCCGAGTGTCCTCGAATACGAGCGACATATATATATATATATATATATATATATATATATATATATATATATATATGTGTGTGTGTGTGTGAGTGGAAAAGAGAAAGCCAAAGTTGACAACGTTCATAACTACCTTACTGTTAATCCAGACACATATAATTAAATCATATAAAAAGAAAAAGACGAAGGAGAAGCAGAAGAAGAAGGAGAATAAGATGAAGAAAGATGAAGAAAAAATAACAACGAAGAAGAATAAGAAGACGATGAAGTAAAAGACGAAGAAGAAGAAGAAAAAGATAAATATTTAGA